ACGCCGCCTGAGAACTCACCGACAAAGCAAATTTTCCTGAGTGGAAACTAGCCTTTAGTGTGAGTGCAAGTGAGCTTTTTGAATACAGGTGTTCATCTCCATGTAAAAACACCGAAAATTATTTTTTTTAAAGATCTGTTTGCTCTCGCTTTTTTAATTTAGACTAAAATTTTAAAGTTTGCTAAATTTTGCCGCCGATGTTTATGTAATGAAGTGTTCTGAAAGAAAGCCCTCCAAATTCTTCATAAGTATGTGCACAAAAGAACCGACAATTGGAAAGGGTTGTGATGAAGTAAAATTTCCATATAACTATATATCTAGTTAGCTTAGAATGATTTCCGATTTTATAAAAAAAATTTCATAACTATGATTTAAATATTTAATAATGCTAGATTTTTAAATCAATAATTCGCAAAAACACCACGAGCAATTTGTTACATGCAGAGCATTCGGTGCGTTGCTGCATTGACTACAAGAGAGCAGACTATAAAACATCCATCAGAGGTGAATTGGATCCAACAAAACAATCCGCAAGCCCACTGTGAGTGCTTGCATCTAATTAAAATCAACACGGATATTTTTATCTATGTGTGGAGTGAAAATGATCGGTTTTTAATTAAGCAAAATATTTCGATTCGTCGAAATTCACCGCTTGATTTTTCCGGTCAGTTGTGAGCGGTCAAGAGAGTCCGCCACGGAAGACTACAAAATTACTTCTTCGAGTGAAGAAGAATTTTTAAATTGCAACTATGAGGTTTGACACTTCTCACGTAATCCAATAGCCATAATAATTTAACTTACTTGGTTTTCCAAGCCTTTAGAAAGTGTTGTAGTAAAATAATAAAATAATTCACATGCAGCCTCTGATTGGATAAACGTCTTGCGTGAATTCGTCACGTCCAACGAGTACATGGCGTCATAGTCTAGGATACGACTTTTTTCATGCACGCGATACGTCATAACGTCACGTCGATGACGAGACACAAGACATCAACGTTTCAAGAAGCGGAAATGCGAAACAAGACAAAACCATATAGAAATTTTAATCGGCTTCGATAGATAAAGACAAACGTGGGCTCAAAATATAATTCTTAACATCATGTTCAACCTATTATAATGTTAATGTACATCCCAGTTACCGCGTCAGGGGTCTGATTGGTCGCCCAATATAGGCAAAACCCAATGACGCCGTTTGTTCGTTAAAAGACACGAACCCTCTTGAGAACGGTCATTTGAAATTCTAAGTTTGTAAGAGAGAAGAACCACGGAGTTAACCAAATTAACACCGAGAATTGCGAGAAAATACCGAAAAGTGAATAAAGGTAAAATCATTTATAGCCTCCTTGAAAATAAAATCAACGCCTAAAAATGATCAGGTTGTTGAGTTCCATGAGCAAGGTTTTGTTTCCCATCGCGAACACTACTGTCTCGTGTTATTTAGATTCAACAGTATTTATTCAATATTTTTGACAGCTGCATGTTAACAACTTTGGCAGGAAAACTTGTCTAATGCTGATAAACTGCAGGCTAAAAGTTTTTGCCGGTATGCTTTTTCGTTCATGTGTTCTGTTGTCTCTGTTCCCCTCCCACTTTATAGCTCATCATGAATTTCCAGGACGTATTTCTAGGAGAACAACTTTTCACCCAATTTTCTATGTCTCTTGTTATACATTCACAGACATACGGCGCGCGAAACCGGCAAAATTCTAAAATTAAAATATTTGTTCCTATACTCGAAACTACGCCACACATTCAGTTGCTATAAACTACGAATATGCTTTCTAAACTTTCTTGTACGTATAACTCATTCAAAACAAGAATTGTGCAACGAATTGCTGAAGCTCCCTAAGAGATAATAACAATCTTCATCAATGATTCATCCGTATTTTCTGACGCGATTAGAACTATCACTGTTCCCTCCTCGACTGTGCGATCGCGATTACCTCGCCAGAAGACAAGATTCCTCAATTGTTTGCAGATTTCTAATGCCAAAAGAAAAAAGAGATGCTATAAGTTTTGAACGCTACGGAAATTTGCATTAATTGCTGTCCACTTTCATACAAATCGCGAATGTATACTTTTTGCTGTAGCACATGCAAACACTTCCATTATAATTATAACAGTCTGTGCAATCCAATAAACTATGTCTGTTTTGACCAAGCCTACAGAGAGGCTTTCAAGCATTTTTTCGGTCGAATATGTGTCGACCAAACGTACGAAGACAACAGCCACCAATATATAATTATAAAGTTACCAATCCCTTGCTCTAGAGTCTGATGACAAAACTTACGTGAAATAAACATAGATTAGTGTATATCTAAAATTACAAAATATTCAGCCTATTCTTCTTAGCCTACTCTATGGCCCTATTATCGAAAAACTCTTAGTTATCGAATACTTAGTTATCGAATACATAAACAAATTTTGGACCGCGGATTTTTTCATTGTAAATTTTCGGTTGGTTTTCCTCCACGGTTATATGCGAGTATTCTGAAAAATTTCATGCTGGACTATTTTTACAAAGAGTATGGACATGATTCAACTGCATGTAAAAAACCCCAACAAACTGAATGAAAAATTGTTATATGATCTGTTTGGTCGCGTTTTTTTAATTTCGGTTTACTTAAAGTCGGCTGAATTTATTGACAATGTTTATATACTCGAGTGGTCTGAGAGGAAACCCTCCAAAGCCAATATATCTACGTGCGCCAAAAACACCAACTGCAGCTGGCTTGGAGCAATATGCTTTAATAGCCTACTGCAGGATTAATGTATTTTTGAATATCAGAAGGTTGCAAGGTTCGTTAAATTTTGGCGAAGAAAGAGATTTTCATTGGGATCTGGTGTATGAGAATTGAATTGCATTAAAACTAATCATGTCCCAGTCCGTTAGAGTTAACATAAACGTCTGACTTTGATAAAGTAACTTTACAATAACCATGCATCTAAATCTAGGCTTCTAGCTTTGAATGCTGGATGATTCCACCAACCTTCGCGTGTACGGAAATTAAAAATATTCCGTATTTCCAACACTCTCAATTTCGTTCTAAAGAAAACATCTGCTCGGAATTCATCCCATGAATATAGAACTAAGTATTCTAGACTTCATTTAGCATTTGGCATGTTTTAACTTTCATGCATGTATTTCTCCTCTTGTTTGTAAAATAGCTGAAACTGAATATCTTCATTTAATTAATTAGCGTTTAAAGTTTAAAGCGATTAAGTTTAAATAAATGCATGATAAATGAGAGTGTTATTGTGTATTCTATGTATTTACTACAATGTATAAATTTACAAAATAATCTATAAAAAATTCAATAGTGTCAATAAAAGTCCAGCTAAATATAGTCCCAAGACATGCATTCTGTATTCAGTGGTGTCAAAAAATGTTCAATACTCGTGGCTTTCAGGCTACACCTGACACCCATGCAGGATATACATTATACATCACTTCCGATGAAATGGAACACTGGCTTTTAACACTTTGGGCGGTCCATTACTCTATACTTTTCTTTATAATCGACTGGTGTTCTATTGTGACATAAGACAGATATAAATTCCGGAAAATATTGAAAATTATTTTGTTTTCGTTTTAAATACTGAGTTTATTTTATGAATATAAATTGCAAAAAGAGTAAAGAGTATGGATCGATATACCTCATGCATGTGCATGTAAAATACACCGAAAATTTTTTTATGATCCTGCTTGCTGGCGCTTTTTTATTATAGGCTAAAATTGTTGAATTTTTCTAAATTTTGGCATGGATGTTTATGTACTTATAAGTGATCGGAAAGAAAACCCTCGAAAGCAATCATAACAATACATACGGGAAAGCATTAAGATCTTTGGAAACGAGCAGCTGGCGATTTATCTTGGAGTAATGTGTCTTTAGTAAATTTCTGATCCTAAGTTGATTCATACTGAATTGTAATGCATCTCTTAAAAGCGGCAGGTTGCATGGTTTGTCAAATTTTGTCGAAGAAAGAGATATATTCATTGGGGTCAATGTACCTTAATTGATAACTAAGCATGTCCCAGTCAATTGTATAGTTAACATAAATTTCTGGTTAAGATAACTAGTGATAAAGTAAATTTAAATGACCATAATCTAGTTTAGCTTTTAATTCTGGATAATTGACTAACCCAATTCTAGAAAATTTATGTCAGCGCTGTTAATTTCGGTCTGAAGCGAACATCTGTTTGTAATTAAAAGCAGTCAATCAATTGCTCATCTTCAAAATGCCTAGTGAATTTCTTCCTATGGAGAAATAAATATAGGCTACGTATATACTAGCTTTTCGAATCTACAATTTGTAGAAAACACCAGGTGTAGTTATTTGTTCGATGCAGTCGTGCACTTAAGGTACACACATACACTGGACGCGATTAGCCAACGGGAAAATTAGGTTTTGAAAAATTCGTTAAAATCGCATCGCGCTGGGGGATCGGGTCCGGCCTTAAAAGAAATATATGAACTCACGCTGGGTCACCAATTACCCTCCTTTTTATTTTATTTGTCGAAACTGGTTAAAAAGGAGAGGACATTAAAATAACTCGATCGACTAAGATATTGATTAGTCACCCAATAATAGCACTATGATCTTATGAAAATATTTACCAAGGTATAAAATTATTAAGTTAAATTAAACAATATTCTTGTACGTTTGCATGGTGACAATCGATAAGTAATTATCGATTATTTTTATAATCATTTGGTAAGTGAAACTGTTGAATTAATGGCGCGAGCTAACAAATGACGACTAACGTGATATTTAAGTGACGTGTGAATGTGTATTCAGGTAATTGCATTGCATGATGAAGGCCTGGGTTAATGGACCAAAAGCTTTGCAGTAATATATACTTACGTGGTGTACCTACAAGCTTAATTACTTAAATTAAATAAAGTCAAACTTTTTTAATTAAAAGACACGTATACTGTTTTGAAATTAATCATTTTGAAAGTTTGCAGAAGTCCAGAAGGAAGAGTCTGAATTTCAAGCCGAAACTATATATATTTATAAGAGTTTGTCGAACTGAAGTCCACAGAGAGAAAGGACCAACGTATATATACGTTCAAAGGTGAATAAAAGCAAATTTGTTGCATACGTATAGAGTAAACACGATCGATTTTTCTGCACCCTCTTTTGGTACAGTCGTTGCTAACGAAAAATATTCTTGCGTATTACAATATATAGAAAACAATCATTGCATACTTGGTCGATTTTATAAACCTTGTTTGCTGTGCCTTCTTTCATTTTAGCCACTAAAATGGGCAAAAAAGTTCGTAAATTCCGCATTAATTTATAAAGTCCTATAAATGAATTTTCGATGCATGGCTGTCATGTCATGCATGTATAATATATATACGAGTAGCCCTTCAATTTGGCGTCAAAGGTGAAAGATTTGCAAATGGTTTGTGCTAAAGAAAATTTTCTCATGTAATTATAACAACTGCGCGAAAACACTTAGCCTGCCAATGTAATTAAAAATATTCAAGATACATTTTAAAAATATTTGTCAGGTAGAAACAAACTTAGAACACTCGCATTATTTAGTACACATCACTTATGATTTAAAAAAAATAATTAATTATGGTAAGCGGAGATGGACATCCATTCCTCGGTCGTCTTGTCTAATGATGTAAATCATAGATCCCATACAACTTTTGTTGCATGATGAAACTAATGTTTCTTTGACCGTTATCACGTAGGGACCGCTCGACCAATCAGAAGTCAGAATTTTGAATAATAATTTTGTAATCAGTATACGTAAAAAATAATAAACTTTCAGCGAATATTCAACACGTAGTAAAAAGTAAAGTAGTGAACGTTGAAATGACTTTAGTTATATAATTAAATCATTTTCGTTTTTATTAAGTGTCCCGTAGTCTTTTAAACTAAGGCATATGAAATAGATAAATATTTAAAATCTAAACGAATTTATAATATTTTCAGTATGTCAAAGAACCTTTAAAACCTTATCAAGCTGACATCAGCTGCCATAACCGGTCACGCAATAATACAAGCGATATTCATATAAAGACGCTGTGATCTTGAGAACAGTCACTTGAGCTTCTGAATTTGTGAGAAGCAAAACTGAGGGCAATTGGTTGAACTGAAGTCAGAAGTTAGAGCATAATCATTTCTAAAGGTAAATTTGATTTATTCTCTGTTTTACTCGAGTTGTAGACACTATAGTAGCCAATGGACCGTTACCAATTAGCAGCGGTGTAGAATCCTATAGTAGCATGACACCGCGGAATTTAACGGTAAGAACTGTAATTCTTAATAACCAGATTTTTAACTTATTCAATATAGTTTTCTCTTTGATAGCGACACAGAAATGCTCAATTGTGACCAGTAGTTAGATTGTTTGGTTGAAACTTTATAAACACCAATTTCTGCGGTGTTTAGTAGCACAGGACACAGCCAATATCGATATCTACGGACTGAATCCTACGTCCAATATACTTTGTTTGTTTTTCTAAAAACCAGGTAAAGTGAATTTTAGTATAGGCCTATACAACGAATGAAAAGTTTTATTGTTTTGTTTGTCACCGTTGGCGTTTCTTAGTCTGGCTGCACAATAAATTCGGAATCCAGAAAATATAATTTGCAAACAAGCTTTCGTATTTGACTAATTTTGGGGTGAATGTATCAGCTTACCAATATAGCCTAAAGGTACAACACGAGCTTCAACGTTTTATTTGCTACACGATACTTTGCCAACTGTTTCTGCAAAAGCCTATTATATATCAAAACCTTATCTTAGCTGATTGATAATTGGTCACGCACGCATATAAGCGCAAAACAACAATATCCAATAGCCCTATAAGACCCGTAACATCTTGAGAACAGTTCAAATGAACTTCTAAATTTGTAAGAAGCAGAACCGGGTGGTGAAAATAGTGTAAAAGTTAGTCGAAAAGAAGTCAGCACTACACAACAAACAAACAAGAAACTGATGTCCTGGAAAACTGCATTTATATTAAGCTACCTTATGTCAACGAGGAACGTAAACGACGCTCGCTTGCCGTAGTCCATCGATCAGGTTTTAAAAACGTTAATACCATGAGCAAAATATTTCATTTATTTCCTTCAGGTTTAAAATTTCAACTATGATGGAGTGGAGTGACAATATCACTGTGAGTTATCTGACAAATCCCACTGAGAGGTGGACAGGTAGTGATAAGCTGAATTCCATAGATTTTCTAAAACGACTACGTTTAAGTCGAATGATTTCATTAATTTTAATCGCCATCTTCACTGTTCTGGGAAATGCTTTGGTGTTGATTGTGACATGGAAAGAAAAACGTCTTCATCAACCAAATAAGTATTTTATCGCTTTACTGTCTGTCGCAGATCTTCTAGTTGGTTTATTTCTGGCTCCATTCTTCGCTTATCAATTTGACCTAGGATACACGAGCAGTGACCGAGATAATATGTCGATTCATCTGTGTCGTTTTATGGTGTGGATGGACGTCTTTGCTTTAACAACATCTATTTACTCGCTGACATTTATTAGTTTTGACCGATATCTCAAAATCAGCAAACCACTTCTGTACAAATCACGGATGACCACTTCCAGATCAATAAAGATCATTTTCGCCATTGTTCTCATTTCAACGGTTTTTGCGACTTACTCTGCGACTCCTTACTCAGGAAGCACCGGAATATTGGCCACCGGGTCTGGCCTTTGCACTTGGACACTAGGCTTCATGATCAAGTCCCCAATATTCTACCTTTTTTTAACAATAAGTACGTTTTTTTCACCCGCTGTAATAATCATTATTATGTACGCACGCATTTTCCATGTCGTTCATAAGCGAAACAAGATGCTCATGAATGGGAAACTGGGTGAAACAATCGACAATCAGAACCAACGAACTGCATTACTACGAGATATGAAAGTGATCAGAATGCTGCTGGTTGTCGTTGGAGTTTTCTTACTTTGCTGGGGTCCTTTGTTTACTTGGATATTGATTTATTTTTACCATAAAAATCAACGTATTATCTTTTCTCGAATAAAGTATGGGACTCACGTATTTCTTAATATAGCAGAGACACTTCCACTATTCAACAGTCTGTGCAATCCCATAATCTATGTCTGTCTTGACCAAACGTACAGGGAAGCTTTTAAGAAACTTTTTCGTCGAATGATGCGTCGACCAGACGCACGAAGACAGCCACCAATAGCCTGATAAGGAAACTTACATGAAGTAGACATCGACTAGTATAATTATATCTAAAATTTAGAATAATT